AAAAGAGTAGCCCAAGAGTTGGCGGTGGGTGGTGATGACTAGCTGCCTTCCCTCTAGTCTTACACTGCTAAATTAGGGACGGCTAGCGCAGATAGCCCTCGTGTAGCTTTGCGCGAAATTCCAAAACCAAAACAAACAATACTCGCACTAACACAACACGATAAATAAGAAAAAACTAGATTACTTACTGCATGGATTGTTTAGACTCTTGAACTTTATATAATATTCGTTGACATCTTTTATATCAAGCGCATTTAGATTACTAAATCCAACTGTTATTTATACTAACCGTTAATTTCTTTGTTCATCCAAAAATCCTGCCTTGGTTTATGTGAATTATTTTAATAAAAACCTTAATATCAAATTGTATTAAAAGCAAGTAGGAACTCTTACTACAAAAAAGAAAGAGAACTGATTTAGCAACATTTCAAGATACAAACAAAAATTATTTTTTATAAAAATTTGCTTGGAAACTTATTAAACCACTTGATAGGGTTCTAAAAAAGTAGAACAATATCAAGTTGTTTGGTGATAACTTTTCTTCTGAATTTAGCAATGTTAGAAAACGTGTGTATATATATAGTTAGAAACAAAAGATTTAGAAACTATGCTCTTAAAAAAAGAAATATCTATCTCAACTAATCTGATGCTCTTCTTCTTTTTATAAAATCCAGAATAAAACTGTTACAAAAAAATGGCGTTACATGGTTTTCCTCGGTTGTTTTACTACAACAATAGAATCATCCGTAGATAGAATGGCCTCAAATGTTAGCAAAGGATACATCAACTACTATCGATCTTTTGCCAAAATGGAAAATTGTTATGTGTGTGAGAATAAAACACCGTATTGGTGATGAACAAGATTTAGTTTAAACTTGCCTGAAGCCGGCTTAATATGCAACTTATTAACAAGCTAGATTGATACTAAAAGGTCTAACCACCGGTTAACAGCCAAGTGTGTAACAAACCTTAAGAAAGAAACAAACAGTTCTGAATATAACTATCTAGTCTATTTTGTCAAGTAAATATACACACACTTAAAATCTGTAAAGATTGTTTATTGTAACTGTGCATTTTTTCTTCCTCCCTTTCTCTTTTGACCCTCTTTATTTCTCATGAACTCATTTAGTCAGAGAAAATAGAATTATTGAGATAAGTATCTTGAGGAATCCCCTGTTATTCTGCAGACCTATATTGTCATTCTTGGAGAAAATCAATTATATCAACATGATTTCACCAACGAAAGTTATCCAAGTAATTTGCGCAGGAGTCTGTTTGAAGCTACTAGTGTATGTGATAATGTGTAATGGTGATATATGGATATAATGATATACTTGTATAAATAAATATATGAGTGTGGTCTAACGCATGTATATGAACATTACATAAGGTCATCTATAAGTATTCTAGTGGGCCAACGACACAAGAAACGCTACTGTTGACCAACATAGGAATGGAAATAAATAATTTAGTCTAAATGTTAACATTTTGTGATGAAGTAACTGTGATTACTGACCTCTTAAGATATTGTTTGTAATACAGTGCACCTGCTATCTTCATTAATAGTAGTGAGAGAATATATTAACATTGAGATATATTCAGCAGGTAATAAATTTTCATAAGAATATAAGAGTAACAAAGAAAATCACACTACGTTAGAGAAAACAAAGTTTTGCCTTCTGTTTTTCGTTGAGTAGTGCAAAATATTTTAAATTGATTGAATCGAAACATTCATGAGTTCGGTGAAATTATCAGTTTGTTTTTGAGCAAAGATACTTTGGGTTACATTCTCTACCCACCTTGGGGAATCGAACCCCGGATTTTAAAGATGTAAATCTCTAGATTTTACTGCTGTCTCACTGGAGGACTAAATTATTAGTATTATTATCAAAAGTAAATGAAATTTATGGAAAGCAGTTTAGATAGCATATCAAACGTAAACTTGGTGTACTCACCGTTATATTTGGTTATGGTAGAATATATTTGATCACGAACAGTTAAATGTTTGATGACCACAGAATGTTTACTGAATATTTACATTCAGTACAATGGTGCAGTCAAAATACATGAAAACGCAGGCTTTGAGTGGACCGTCAAGGCGACATTTGGTGAAACTTTGTAGTTGCCCCCCGGCTAGTACTAAACTTTCATTTGGACGAAGTTCTGAGTGAAGGGAGTTGTAAATGTCAGTAGATTCTCAAGATCAGAAGTTAGAGGTTGGTGCTTCTAAAGCAGCTAACACGAATCAGCTCATGTGTGTAGGAACCAATGTCTGTAGTTTCATCCCCATTTCGTTCCTACTTCCTATGGCAACTGCTAACATAACGTATCCTCTAATTCAGTCCCATTCCTTCTACTGCTGCTTGTTTTTTACGTTACATAAACATAGCCCGAGTCCAATGACAATATTGGGCAGTGCAGCTACTGGTATTGGTAAAGAAGGACCCGATGAAACCTGGGGGATCAAGATGTTCATAGTTATTAAGAATACTCATACAAGCAATATAAGGCATGAGGAGAACATGCGAATCCTATAGAAATGTCGTTTGACCAAGGTAATACGTTTAGCATCCTCCTCTTCCTAAAATTTAATTTTAGAGCAAAGCATGATTGTAGCCCGGAAATTAGGAATCTTTTTACTACCTACACTCCTGGTTAAACTACTAGCCAATTGGAATTCATTTAACCTTGCGTTTTCAATCACGACTTTTTCTAAATAAAATCAAATTCTTAACATTACTGACTATCTTGTTTTTCACTTGTATTTCACTTGTGTTTATGAACTTCCAACTTATTATACTAAGCCCTGCAGAATGAAAGGAACCTACGAGAATCAATATTCCTAGGACTTGCTATTCAGCAATGTCGACGGCCTAGATCACGTGGCCATTTCCAAGATGTCTGAAGCCATCCTAACTTTTGAATCTGTGGAATTCACGGATGAAGATGCACTGATATGTAACACATCAAGCACTTGCCGAATCTGTTGATGGGCTGGCCCCTAAAATCTCCTGGGGCTGAATAGCCCCCACTCCCCATTTTATCCAGCTCAGTCCACCAAAAGTTGATCCTGACTCAATGAAGCTAGCACCATCGGTGCCTGCTACACCAGCTGAGCCCTTTCTTCAAGGGGCTCAGTCTTATGTCACCACTCCTCAGGCAACAATAAGTCAGTTCCAGTCAATAATATGTCCTGTCAGAGGAAGCGTCACTATAAAACGTTACTGGTGCCAAATATTCACACAACTCCAGAAGACCCTTAAATACTAAAACCAAAAAAAGACCTTTCTAGAGTTAAGATTTTCCTAAAGGTCAACCAAGCACTGAGAGGCTCAACAATTGGCTACCATCACACCACCAGCAGCGAAGGTTTTATAATTGAACAATACCTTAGTATCTGTTACAACGAAGCCACCACCAGCAAAGCCATCCTGTATTCTATCTCAGGAATGATCTAAGCTAGAACTTCTCATTGTACTACCTACAGTCATTACCAACAGACCAGTTGTACAAAATCCCAATATTCAAAAGGCATTATCAGAAACAAACTGCCAAATGGACAGAAACCTAGCCCTCTATAATTGTGAGGAAGACTAGTTATGGAGATATTCAGAGTAAGTCCAATGGCTATTCACAGAGTTAGCTCGATCCAAAAGAGTTAAAGATGTCATCTTACAGACCACTGCCACCAGTTGTTCTTGAGGACTTCCTCATTCATTAAGGGAAGGTGAGAACTCGTACCTCAGATCGACCTGAGAGTCAAATGTAAATAATGTTAATGATGTAAATATATATGTGCCTCTGCATTTCCCTCTTTTATATCCTATCTTCTGTACTTATAATTTATATATGCCTAAATTTTAATTTATATTTGAAGGGTTTATTTTCATGATTAAAACAGTGTTATAATAGTGTGTCGTATGTTGACATTTAATTCGTCACTCTGAGTTGTGTCAAGTCACAGTTATAATTTTTTATGCATTGGGGGTACCATTGCATATTACATTGCTGAACTTATTACCTGGGTTAAAGATGTTTCTTTTTATTATGCCTATTATATACTTTGTGAGAGGGTATTATCCTGTGAAACTATTAATTATTGTATTGTATGTCCAATAAAGGGTTATTTATTTTTAAAGGGTGTTTTTTATGTATAAATATCGATTTGTAGTCTTTTTTCATTTTCTTTTTATTATTAAGTGTGTTTGATGTCCTGTCAAATGTATCTATGAAAAAGGGTAGTGTTGTCCGTGTTGCATGTAAGTGTTTTTACAGAAGCGAAAGAAAATCACAGCACTGTTGAGCAATACACAAGTGTAAAGTTAAATGGCTTTAAAGTTTTAAATTAATGTCCTTTGAGACAAGACTAAAATAAAGGAGGGGAAGAAATGTTTGGTAAATAAGTTATTCTAATATATTTTTTTTTAATTTACCTTTTAAGGAGATGTGTGTGCAGTTTCCACATAATACATTAGTCAAGAAGGTCGTTAAGCTGCTGTTGCTGCCTATTGTTCTGTGTCATTCACCAGAGATAACTCCTTTTGTCTTTCCATTGGTAGTCTTGAGATTATGACCTCCCTTATGTTTCAGAGGGAATGGCCAGTCACGTGGGTAGCGAAAGTCACTGTAATAATTACATTACCTACTTAACTAATTAACGTGATGCTTATTCCGTCAGGAACAAACCTTAAGAGACAAACAGTTTTGAAACTTGACCTTCAGTAAAGGCGCTCGTCCGTTGTGGAAAGCATATACACATATACACTGTGTTTGTGTAATTAATTAAAGTTGTCTGTTGTGTTATTATGATTGTAAAGTTGTGTCCAGCCTATCTTTATTTCTCATGAACAAAGCTTGTCAGAAACTACGAAATTATTTCTTGATAAATATCTTGATGAATGTCACGTTACTTTGCAGACCTATCTTGTCACTCTTGAGAGAAATCAATGTCTGATATTGCACTCGTATATAGTATTTAGTCAATGTCTGATATTGCACGTGTATATAGTATTAAGTCAATGTCTGATATTGCACGTGTATATAGTATTAAGTCAATGTCTGATATTGCACTCATATATAGTATTAAGTCAATGTCTGATATTGCACTCGTATATAGTATTAAGTCAATGTCTGATATTGCACTCGTATAAAGAATTAAGTTTTCTGAAGGTAGAAGTGTAAGCAATATATATGTATTATAGTAGGATACATGATTGAAATTTCAAAGTAAAATGCCTTCCCTCAATGCCACAGCGTTAAGTTTGAAGGCTTCTAACGCTAAAAATCTGGTTTCGATACTCGTTGTGAGCACAGCACAGATAGCACATTGTGTAGTTTTACGCTTAGCAACAAACAAACAGTCAAACTAAAATTAATATAAAACATTGCATTATATCCAATTCTTTTATCTACTTTTCACATTACAAGACATTTTCTCTAGCCACTAAAACTGTGTTGCTTTAACATATATTTTGTGCTTTTAGTTCCAAAATACTTCACTACTAATACTTTGCACTTCATAACAAATAAAAATCCATTTTAAAACAAATATTTCCACTCTTGTGTTGCTATGAGGACAACAGTGAATCTAGTTAATTATAATATGCATAAATAAAAAAAAGAAAGAAATAGAGATAATATATTCTAAAAATATTCACGTACTCTCAACTAATCAGTGATAGTACAGTGTATTTTCACGAAATTAATAAGTTTTACAAACATTTTAATTTCTAAACCCTCTGATTTTAGGAGAACGATCTGTGGAGCCCTAGTGAAGATGAGCATGATTTTCCAGAACACTATACCTTTGTCCAAGAATGGCTACAACAGGAGGGTGAACATCCTCAGCAAGACTGTTCCGTAAGTTAAATAATATAAACGGAAAACTCGAGAAAACAAAATTTATTAATTACGATCGTGGTTAATTCAAATATAATTTGAAATGTCTGGTATTTATCTATCTATTAATAGTTTATAGTTGTCGTTCAGTGATTTTTTTAAGCTCTTCAATTAAATTATCAATTGTTTACAACCCTTAAACCTTTATTTACAAAGTTTTCAATTTATTGTTACAGTCTTCCTATGAAGAATTAAGAATTCAAGTCAAAATCCAATTTATATTCAAAGACATATCGTGATGTGATAAAATATTGGGACGGTTACATAAAAATTTGAAAATATTTTCAAATAACTAAGTCCTTATATAAAAATACATTTTAATTCGAATGTGATGTAAGTTGTTATAAAGCATTATTGGTTTTTAATGATGACCGAATATTTACTACGTTATAGGGAGTTTACTCCGTTAACAAGGAGGAAATTGAAGGGTGGAGATTTCAGAAGTCCATGGACGGTATTGAAAAGATTGTTGCTGAGAATTATGAAATCGTTCAGGATGAACTAATTCCTTGGAAAAACCGTGTTCTTGGAAATACTAAAGAAAAGAGAATAATGGAAGAAGAACTTAAGAAACCTTTATCGAGGCTACCTATTAGAAAGATCCCGTCTTTTCGGTCAAAAAGTTCAAATATCTCTAAGGTTCCACTGAGTAAAACTAAACCGTGTAGATCTCGAGATTTTACTGAAAGGAGTTGTGGTAAACACAACCATCAGCGAAAACAGCATACAGAAATCTATTGTAAAAAACTAGGCAAGCAGGAAAATACGAAAAATGGCGATGATAACTCCTACTGGTCTAAAGAAATAGATTGGAAACGAGTTGACGCGTCTATACTAGGGTGTGGAATGACAGAAACGTCATGTCCTGATGACAGAGGAAGTGGAAGTTCAGAGGAAATATCAAAACAGATATCTGATGTTCAAAAAGGAGGTGTTCGGTGTGATAATAGTACAGTCCAAGTGTTTCAAACATCAGACATTCCTTCAGAGATAAAAGTACTTCAAAATGAATCCCCAACATTTAAAAGCGATGTCTATAAGTGTTATTCTCCACAATGTTTGAAAGAGTCTGGGAAAATAGCAGATAATCAGTCAGAACCAATCTCGGCAAACCAGATCGATTTTGAAGATACATTATCACAATGTGATTCAAATCTAGATTCGAATCAAGGAAACCTTGATCAAAATGTATATTCCAATACCCACACCACTATTCAAACTAACTCGCTTAGTGCTTCCATGAACTCCAAAAATTCAAACGAGTATTTCAGCTCAAAACAACAAACATTAGCCATGTCAACACATTCCTTCTTCGCACGCCCAAAATGTCAAAATGAAGAAAACCAGTTATTACAGAGGAAGGAACAAACAAATGTTAAGAAAACGTCACTTATTTCTCAAAAACCTGTTATTCAGAGTATTAAAAACAACACACACAAAATTAAGCCTCTCGTTCCTCCAAAACCTCGCTCAGTGGTCGCTGGTAGTTCAAAAATTCCTATCCCAGGAAACTATAGAAATAACGAAAGTAATTATCAAAAAACGGACACAACTAAAATACCATCTTTTCCCAGTTCTTCTGCTACTGTCTTGAAGAAAGAAAAAGAAGGCTTAGATAGAAGTAAACGTAAACTCTTACCAAATAAAAATGCTCCACTTACTAAAGGAAAACTCAAAAGTCCAGAAAATTATAAAAAAACGTCAAAAATTTCCAAACAAGTTAGTTCAACACAAGAAGAAAATAAAGAGAAAGAAATCAATCAAATACCTACGGCGTCAAAGCGTCAAATAACAAAACCTGTAGACAACAATACAGATGCTCAAAACTCTGAGAAAACGTCTACAGAAAGCGCACTGAAATCACCTCGGAAAAAAGAGCAGGTTTCCTCGAATCAGCAGAATACTGGCGTTGATTTAGAGCAACTGTCATTTGAAACTGGTACTTTGTCTGTAGCCCAGAAAATCCAGATTCTCAATGCTTTACTAGACGAGAACGAAAAGATCTCCTTCATTTCTTGCTTTCGTATATCAAATTCTACTAATATCAATGATAACTCACCGGAGACTTCTCCAGAGATTGATGAGAATAATAAGGAAGGCTACAGGAGTTCTTGGATTCATGTGCCTCCGGATATCAATTTCCGTGATCAAAAGGTACACTCTCGATATGTTTACTTTTAGGTAAAACTCTGCAAATAGATTTTTTTTTTCGTAGTTGCTCGAGAATGATTAAAATGTAGACGTATGTTTACTTCAGAATTTTGTTTTATAGCTAAATTAGCATATATTCTGGTTACTGGTTTAACTACTAAAACTTTACGTTTGTTCTGCTCTCTAGCCATCTCTGACCAAGAGAATGCATTGTATTTAGTATACATCCTGTAAGGGTAGCCTTAGAGGAAACGTCATTATCTGCTGTATAGGTGGCGGCATCAAGTGTTAGTCTTTCGTACTACGCAACTGAACAAAAATAATGATATACTGTATTTATTATAAAGTTGCGTGAGAGAGTAACTTGAAATTTGTTACATACATAAATACTCCTATAATATTGTATTAACGCACGAGAAATGAGGAATTAGAAGTGTGATTTTAGTGTTTTCATTCATTACATTATTCGTCTATCTTTCAGTACCTTCCTAAGCCTCTTTTTGCTATTATGTCAAACATTCTAAATATTTAGTAAGTACAGAAGGAAATGGTGTCAGAACGTCAACAAAAAGCTTCACTTTGTTTTTGTTTCTTGTTCAGATAACATCTCAGCTTTTCGAGTCGGCACTTTTTACTAGTATCAGTAGCGAAGAGAGCGAAGTGGACGAAGATGAAAGCCACCCAGAAAAATCCTTTCATCTTCAACATAAGAATGGATGGAAATCTGGTAATGAACCATAAAACAAACATACAGCATAAATGTCAGTGTTAAAGGTAGACGTAGGTTTGAAAGTAGCATTGTCATTTCTTTACACCACTATCTATAACTTAATGTGTTTTTCTTTAAAGTAAAATGGAAACGGTATCATAATTTATTTCACAATGTATTGCTTCGAATTTCCATAAACGCTATGTTGGTCAGTGTATGTGCAGTAAATTTTTAAGAATTTGTAAATAACATAATAAAATTCCAGGAGCTGGCTAAAAAAAAAATAGTTATTACTTCAATGTTTGCATTTTTAGTATTTTATTTTTTGTGTGTTTATTACACAGTATATTTTTTTTTCAGGGGAATTTCCAAGCTCACCAATAGAGGAAGAATCGCCAAGTAAGTACCAAGAGAGCAATAGAAGTTGGTCGAATATGAATGGTAAGGAAGGAAAGGAATCCGATATCTCTATTGAAACCAACCTCATCCACCCTAAAATCATTCACATGACAGACAGTTGCCTGTCAGTTCTCTCACGTAACAGTGACTCCCCAGAACGAATCTCGTTTAGTGATTCTTGTGCTGGAAGTTTTTGTTCATCGACTAGAAGCCTAGATCACATTGGTTAATAAGGAGGATTGTTCATCGACTAGAAGCCTAGATCACTTTGGTTAGTAAAGAGGATCACTCGTCTACTAGAAGCGTAGACTGCATAGGTTAACGTGGATGGTCTCTCGTATACAAGAAACGTATATCGCATTGGTTTATGAGGAAGATCACGCATTTATTATAAGCCTAGATAGCATTGGTTAATAAGGAAGATAATTAGTATACTATGAGCCTAGAATGCATTGATTAATAAGGAAGATATTTCATCTACTAGAAGTGTATATTACATTGGCTAATAAGGAGGATCACTCGTCTACTGTAAGGCATTGGTTAATACAGAGAATCTTTCGTCTACTACAAGAGTATATTACATTGGTTAATAAATAGGATCACTCGTACACTATAAACCTAGATTGCCTTGCTTAATAAGGAGGCTCACTCGTCTACTAGAGGCGTAGATCGCATTGATTAATTCAATAGCAGTTACTTAATCGCCTATTAGAGAGCGAAATAGAATTAATTGACCCCAATAAAAGAGGGCCGCTTATCTACCAAAACTTCCACCACAAACATGTTGACGGAATAACTCGGTAAAGAAGAAGAATTCGTCTACTAGAAGATTAACCCTTAGAGGTAATGGGTAATTATTTTGTCTACCAGCAGCCTGTATTGCACTGTATAACCACAATAAAGCATGGTCAATCAACCACCATAAGTCTAGATACAAAGTCCTGAATGAGAGAAGAACAGGAATTCTCAAAGGGCTTAGAACTCAGTGGTAAATATTAGTCCTTGTAAGTAACTCTATAATAAATGATTTACTCCAAAATGAAAAGATCAATAATATTCCAGAATAATCAATATTTTTCAGAATCGCTTAATTGATAGCCCTTTTGAAAAACGTGTTAAAACTGACTGACGTTAGTGAGAACTGGAAACTGTTGCTGTTCAGCATGGATTTCCCTTCATTTTGTATAAAACTTAAACCAACTTTATATTTTTTGTACGATATATTTTGTTTCATAATCAGGTATAGGTAATATAATTTTCGATATAGAATTTAGTAAAATAAGACCGTTTTATTTTCGAATAAAGCTCATGATTTAACATATTATACATATTGAGTTGTGACAAGAAATATATAAATATTACTAGCTTTATTCTACTCGCACGTGATTTATTTCTATAGATAAGTAACGTATTTTTTATGACGTATCTCAATAACGTCAAGTTATGTTTAAAAAATTACTCTTTCGCTGCTTATTTATAAGGTGAATATTTTCTGGCTAATTTAATTATGACTAATTATGCAATTACTTTTTCTTTAATTTTAGATTTATTTTGCATGAGAAAAAAATTGTATTTATATTTAAGTAAAGAATATATGTGTTTGGGCCAAAATATCATATTAGGATAAAGTTAACCTTTTCTAGAAAGTACCTATAAGACTGTTACCTGTTGTCTTATTTTGTTTTATTTTTGCGATTTTTATACTTATTATCTAAAACCTCTTGTGTAATTTTACATATTTAAATACAACAGAAAAACAAATTAACTATCAATTTTATTTCGATTCATCAAAGTGTAGATTTTTGTTTGTTTATTCAGCTTAATTGATTAGAGACAGGACTCACAAAATAAATGAAGTAATCAAAGTTAAGATTTCCCCTTATTATTACTTTTGATTTTTTTTCAACTATCCAAGTAATTGAAATATTTCTATTATGTTTGCTTGTTGTGAAGTGCAAAGCTAGACATTTGGCTATCTGTGCTCTGCCCACCGCGGGTATCGAAACCCGATGTTAAGTCACCGGTGGCCAAAATCTAGGACTTTGTAGCTTTTATGGCTACTTGTTTAGCCTCAAACCTTTTGGATTACCTTAATGTTCAGAGCTTAAGATTTGAAAGACATTATACATAAAATAAATGACTTTGAAATGACAAAAATAACACAATGACCTTGAAATGACAACAATTAACACAGGGGAGCTGTTTTCAAAATGCTCTAAACTTAATAGTGCTTAAACTAGCTCCAAACAATTAATGACTTCAAGCTTTAAAAGAGAAACGAATATTTATCAAAACGTTACATTCTAGGATAAAGAGGCAAGCTCATAAGAACTGGTTCTTTCTTGTCATTTATTTTCCTTGAAAACAAAAACTTTTCACTTTTTCATGTCGCAGATTATCCATACCTCCCAATATTCAACAGAATAGTATTTGCATTTTCACTGAATTTCAAATAATTAGAGTTAGACCAAATATGTTAACGAATTTCGTGAAACTAATTACCGAAACTTATAAGCATTATTTGATCCTTGTAATCAGACTTTGACTAACATGTTTCTTAGTCTTCTGTTTATCGTTTCTTATCTATATAAAAGCCTTCCTTCCAAACCACGTGGACGGTAAAAACTTGAATTTCTCCATAAGGAGTTTTAGTGTCTAATTGATTTTATATGGCCTTTTGAACTTAATATTCCTTTATTAATTAGCGAAAACTTATTTACTATGGTTAAATTGGGATTTTGAAAGAGAAGGAACTCCCTTTTGTAATCCACTTTGACATTCCAATCAGAAGACCACGAACGTTAATAACTTGAATCCTCAAGAGGCGGCGATCCGGTCCGGACCGTTCCGCCTCAGTTTAACATCCTGCCTATTTATGAAGACATCTAAAAAATAGATTCCCGAACTTAACATTTAAATAAGCAGTTTCGTCTTAGGAATTTTGTTGAAATGTTGTAGCGGAAGAATACAAACTCACTTCAAAGCTTCAGTTACGCGCGGAGTAATTGGTTAGCTAGGAATAATGTAGTTTTGTTCTTGTTGCTTTACTAGAGATTTCTAAATAAGGAATACTTATTAATAATACTCTAGTAGAATTTTATTTCTACTTTACCATAGTGTGAAGCATGTGATTGAATATTTTGTATGGTGATGGACTATTAGCAAAAGTAGTTCTAAATGGCAAACGAACATTGCTGTGGAGGTATCCAATATTTTCCAAAATATGGCACTAGCCTCAAGTTCCCCTAAAATACTAGTCTCAATGTTATAATGCATGTAAAATTCTAACGTATACCAGAACGATTTAAAAGAGATTCACTATTTAATTGGTCTAAAACGATCACTAGAGTTTAGTCGACAAACGTTTAATTTATGAGGTAAAATCTTAGAAATTCTAGGCAAGAAAAAAGGTTTACTATATAAACAAAACCAACTTACTATGACTTTATCAGACTTTGCCCAGTGTAAGAATTTAACAACTTCCATGATTTTTACTAGAAATGTAGTGGTTGCGTTAATGCTTTCTAAACAGCTCATTTTCTAACATCGTCACCGAATGTGAAATTTTAAAGATTACAATAAAAAACCCTTCACATTTGGATGCTTTAGTTAGCGTGTTTTCTTCTTGGACAAATGGTTTAATTTGTAATTGTAAATATATTTCAATACTTAAAAATTGTAAAAGTTAAATATGTCAAACAATTCTAATGAATAAAATCAAACCATTAATTTCTCTAGGTCCAGCATTGTTGCTCGTGTGTTAGAATGTGAAATGTTGTGAAAATGTAAGGTATAAGTTAAAGTCGTGGTTTATTGTACAAACACTGTACCTTTGAACAAATCATATTTAGGAAGCATGCTGATGGTCACTTTATCATAGAGTTATCTTTCCTGTTTGATTTTTTAGTTTGATTCATGAATCGAATTATTGTGTTTTCAGTAGAAATGTATTTTCTTACAATCTGTGATAAGTAGTTCCGTTGATGAATTGTATTTTGTAAAATGCAAATAAATTACTTGTCATTTCATATCCTGACTAAGAGTTTGGAGTCCCTTTATAGATCGGAAGAAGAGATCAAAGTTTTTAGGAAACCTTAATTATAAGCATCTAAATAGAATATTTTGTCGAATCTGATGATGTTTATTCTTTTATATGAATTAACTAAATATAAATGTTATACAATAAACACTCTTCCAGTAAATAGCAATGTGGTTAATATGGCAATGTTCCAAAATAAACGGTGGATTGGACACTCTCTGGTGCTTGAATGTGTGGTTAATATGGCAATGTTCCAAAATAAACGGTGGATTGGACACTCTCTGGTGCTTGAATGTGTGGTTAATATGGCAATGTTCCAAAATAAACGGGGGTTTGGACACTCTCTGGTGCTTGAATGTGTGGTTAATATGGCAATGTTCCAAAATAAACG